TCAGAGTGAACTCTGGAAATATTTTATTCAGGCCTTGGGGTGATTAGTAGAACTATTATATATATTTGGGGTGCCACGGTGGCGAGATGTTAACTGCCTCGCCTCATATACAGGAGGTCGTGGGTTCGATCACGACCCTGACGCCTGTATATTTGGAGTTTGTGTGTTTTCCTCATGGTTGCGTGGATTTTTCTCCGGGTCCTCCGGTTTCTCCCCCCCCCCCCCCCACATTTAGTAACATGCGTTTTGAGTATTTGGCTACTATAAATGTCCACATAATAAGCCACTTCGTTGAGCTATCATTTGTGGCCAGGTCGCTTCTAAAATATAGCTCAGTGGGCCTTACCTGGTAAAATAAAATTAGCTTTATTTTTTTTAAATCGTGTTTTTTCCCCCCGAGTATCTTGTACGTAGCCTTGATATTATTTGTTACAGACTGGCCAAGTTACACGGTGGTGTTTGAGTTGCAGATATAAAAAAACGAATTAGGCTTGATGCTCGGTTTGCTGGGTATGAAATGGTTTACATGATTAACATTAAAACCTTAGTCCAATGAAATTTCTGCAGTCGCCAAACCACCCACCCACCCACCCAACCCACCCCACCCCACCCAAGCCACCCAACCCACCAACCCACCCAGCCCAACCCACCCAGCCCAATCCACCCACCAAACCCAAACCCAGCCCAACCCACCCAACCCAGCCCAACCCACCCAACCCACCCAACCCAGCCCAACCCACCCAACCCAGCCCAACCCACCCAGCCTACCCAGCCCACCCAGCCCACCCAACACACCCAGCCCACCCAACCAACCCACCCACCCCAACCCAGCCCACCCACCCCAACCCAGCCCACCCACCCCAACCCAACCCACCCACCCACTCCAACCCACCCAACCCCACCCACCCCAACCCAGCCCACCCACCCCAACCCACCCCACCCCACCCACCCAACCCAACCCACCCAGCCCAATCCACCCAGCCCAATCCACCCACCCAGCCTGCCAAACCCACCCAACCCACCCAGCCCACCCACCCACCCAGCCCACCCACCCCAAACCAGCCCACCCACCCGAACCCAACCCACCCACCCACTCCAACCCACCCTCACACACCTGAAAACGCGGACAGAAAAATTGTAGCGCTAATCAACAGTTTAATTTTAAACAGGGAAATTTAAGTTAAATGAAAGATGATATTAAACGTGCTACACGGGTCATAACTTGTATCTAATCATTTACATATATGCAATGTGAAGCCACAATTTGCGAAACCGGTAATTGATTTGCAGACAACATGAATTGATCCACTGATGTAATAAAAAACCTTAAAGAAAAGGATGATTCCATATGTTATAGTTGCAATAAAAGCATCAATCCTTTACTGCCAGTGCAATTGGTTTAATCTAAAAAAAATAACCTCTCAAACCTCTGCCTCTCTCCTGTCCCTCTTGATTATAGATCTTTTCCTAAGCCAGCATGGGTCTTTAAGTGTACATCCTGTCTGCACCTGGAAAACGCTACCCGTGCAACTCTCTCCCTTTGTCCTCGGTCATAACAATGTTCATGACAACACTAAGTATCATGCTGTCAACACCAATGTCCAATGTGTTGGGGTGCCGCGAAATGGAATTGTCCAATCTTTCCCGCTATCTCATATTTAAAAATAACAAAGCAAACAAACAAACAGAATGGTGCTATCAACCATGCAGATATGGAAAATATATTTACATTACGAGTGGTATGCTTTTTAGTTAATTATACGAGGTTGTGATATTACTCATTTTGTCATATTTGAAATGTTAACTTATTTAGAATCATTGGGATTGATATATCATGAGATATAGATAACAGCGACTGTGGTATGTTCCCAGGATGTGCAAACATGACATATATTTATGTAGAGTCCGTGAATTTTTATTTGTTTATCCTTCCAATGACCTATTTTTTGTTGTTTATAAAGCACCTGATTGTGGGTTTGTAGATGCTCATTAGTTCACGTTGTCAGTTGGAGAACAGATATAATTACAGGACTGCGATTTGCAGATGTAGCAGTTTACTATGTGCTGACCTATCAGAGCCATTTCACACAGCGTTACAGTGACAAGAGCTGAGAAGGGAGTGGGACACACAATATGTTGCATCCCACTGGCTAAAGCTGGCCCTATACAGGTTAATTCAGTTCAAAGTATACTCTGATGGATAAAAAAAGAAAACGAATTGCAAAAAATATTAATCTGGAGTTAAAATATTTTAGCGCACATCTTTGTATACTCATAATTTGTATTGCAATTCACATACACCTTTTGCAGTAGCTAAAGCTGAGTCCAGCATATTATGGTTGGTCAATTAAGTTTTGTTTGCCTTTCCCCCCTGGGTGTTTGAAGTGTGACAGTCCAGTTCGCTCAAGGTCTCCATGAAAGATATTATAGTTATGAATGCTTCTCTGGGTCTACAATTTGCTGTTTTACGTTGCAGAGGTTAACAATTTGTTTTATGACAATGGACACCCCCATTTTTTTTTACGAAAGATAATGTTTCAGGGAATATTTAATTCCTTCGGTAGTTTCTCCATTTGCTGAGCTGACAGTCAAACATACTAAGCCATAATAAATTCTACTTCCAAGTTGGGAATCGATTAGCTAAAACCCTCGTGTACAAAAAGTAAGAGACATTTCCAAAAGGGGACACATTGGTCATGTTTTTCATTCACTATGAAATTCAGGGGGCATTCATCTATCTTATAACCCCATTTTTCAGGTGGATAACAAAACAAGATTTTATTCCCAGCTTAAAATATGAAAAACGATACATCTACAAAGGGAATTACCATGCAAATGATTAAATGTAGAAGCAGTAGATCATCTGTGATATGACGTGGCAATGTTATAATGCAGAATGTGTGGTGATTTGCATGATGCGATGTATGCAGACCTTAAGTTGATTGCTCGATTGTTTTTTTTCTAAAACGGATATCAAAGCCTATGCATCACACGCTTAAAACAAAATATTGAGCTGGTTATTTAAATGTTCGTATCATGATATTGAAGCCAGCAGATCTGAAATCTACGCTTGAAGGCAAATGAAACATTCATGGTTGTTCACTCAGTCTGGATAGATTATTTTGTGCAGCAATTTTAACTGTCTCAATGGAAATCATCGATGTCAAACGGGTAAACAAGTAAATCAATCACCACGCAATGGTCCACACTCATTGTAATCATTACATTCAATGAGTCGATGATTTTGGTTTAGTACTTTATTTGGGAACACTCGGAGATGAGAGTATCAAGTTCACGTGCAGACCTAAGTGTCGAATTTCTTTTTCATGTGGAGAATGTGATGTTGGAACGCTTTCCTCTGAGTGCACACGTCTGAGTCACCACACGGAGGAAAACTCATACACTCTCTGCTCCCGTCACTCAAGTATGGGCACTGACACTGTAAATGGTGCAGCAATATTTCTGCTGTGAAAAAATCAATTTTTTTACATTTAATGCTGAGAGTTAGATATAGAAACAATGACCCGAAAATACTTACGCGATAGTTTACACGTATTCATATGCAATTATACATATTCAAGCAAACCTACAATGCATTCTCACAGTATCAGATCAAATGCGGAATGCTTTTGGATTAATAAGATTCGCTTTCTCCGACTGATACAATTGGTGAACATTTTATGCACTTATAATTATTCGCACAACTTCATATTACCAACAGATGTTAGCATTCCACCATGGTACCTCGCAAAGACTTAAGCACAAAACACTGTTACTGCAAGAGCAATAGTCTGGGAAAATAAGAATGACTGCCTGGCTCACCACCAATTAACAGACAATCGGGCTTACTTATAGCTTATCGATCTAATAGGAGCTGGTTTCGATAATCTATTCAGGAACATGTAGGACCTGTCAACGCTGCACATTTTGGTAACAAAAAATTATAATAGACTCTACCGCGTGGTTTTATTTAACTTTTTGTCCTAAAATCACTGCGTTGAATGGTGGTTGATTCTTCGTTGAATCTGTCAGTTTATTAAGTGCCAAGTCATTAGGTGTGAATAAAATATTGAGAGCTAAGCAAGTAATGCATTTATTCATGAGCGCAAAAAATCTATATATATAAAAATATAATTTTTTTACATTTAATGGTACCATACAAACAAACAATAGGTTGTTATTTAAAGTTGTCAAATAAATCATATATTTATAATCTTCTGTATATTCAGATGCCAGAACCACTACATTTTCTGTGCGCAAAATAGACGATTAAAGCATGTTTCTTTGTGAAGAGGCAAACATTTCCTTGCTCAGTCATATCTGCACAAGTAAAAATGAAATGAATTGCTTCTTTTAAGCTTGCATGATGTAAATGCCTTCGGTTACCAAAAAATGCGTAGTTGAATTATTATTATTATAATCATATAAACGTATCATAATTATTATCGGAATTTCCTATAGCAAATGGTTGGTCATGGAATAAAGGGATAACCTTTCTAAGGTCCATGAATAAATATTATAATTGTTGCTTAGTCATCTTAATACCTTACGGAAAATATGTTTTCATTGAATCGTCTCACTGTAATAAAAGTAATAATTGTTTTTATTCATAACAATAATAGGTTTGTACCACAGTACAGTATACAACAGCAAAGCGTTCAAGGGAATAATGGGATAAAACTGAGGCATGAAGAGCGACTTAAGTTCGAGGCTCTTCATTCTGCAAAAAAACTGCATCGAAGAGGACGCGTGATATTATTTGACTCTGGATCGGGAGAAATGCTTCCAAGTCGCCGCGCACAGCAATGCCAAAAAAAATTCACGACGCTTGTCAACTGCATGGTGGCGGTTAAGATAAATAAATAAAAACACAACAAAAAATGTGACCACCCCCTTCTCTCACACCCCCTCGTCCCCACCAAACAAACAAATGTGACGGGCACACCACACGCACAGCTTGTCCGATAATGCGTCGCTCGGCGCGGAGGGCACACATTGGCGACGCGGACGCACAGCAAAATAAAAAAGAAGGGGGGAGGAAAATAACCGAAAACACCGCGTAATAAATGCTACAAATAGCGACCTCGGCTCTACTCATCGTGCAGAATAGGATTTAAAAAAAAACCCACGGTATTTCCCTATTGCCAATTATCAATGGTGGGTATGCGACGGCGAGGCTTATAGGGTTAGGGCGTCAAAGCGCCTTGTTAGCGGTGGAGCAGCAGGCAGCCCGTGTCGCTGAGAGACAAGGGGAGGAGAGAGGGCAGCCCACGCTCAAGACAACACTCGCTCTCTCCCTCTCCCCTCCCTCTCTCCCCTTCCTCTCTCTCTCCCTCGACCGCTCTCTCCCCTCTCTCTCTCTCCCGGGTAGCGCTTCCTCTCCCCTTTAAGCCGCTCGTAATTATGAGCACAGAGCCGATAGATGCTTGCGGAGCTGCAGAGAACGGGGAATTTACCGCACATTTTGCCCAACCGCGATGCGTTCTTCGTCTGAGAGAGTATTTTGCCGGTAAGGTTTTGTTTGTTGTCTGCGTTTTGCGTTGTTTGCTTTCTGGCTTTGTGTATATTTTTTTGGTTCTCTCGATTGTTTTCCTCCGGCTAGTACTAATTCACTCGCGCGCAATTGTTTTCTATTGTTGTATTTATGTGCAAGTCGAATGTATTTAATACGGCGTTTCTATGATGAAGAAGTTTATTTATTTATTTACATTCACATTCAAAAGCCTGTGTGTGTTTTTTTTGTCGCAATACAATCATTGTTGTCCTCTGGCAGTTTAGTTCTGGACAAGGAGGGGGGGGGGACGCAACCCAACCCAAGCAAATATTGTGGAATGGGAAACACAGGAGTTTCAATGCTATGATTTTACAGCCTTGTTGTGTGTGTAATGGACTGCATTTTTAGATATTTTCACCACATCCAACACGCACGTTTTTACAAAGGTGTGTCGGTGTCACCGTTGCGCATCAGTGAAACGTGAATCGCGATTAATTTCGAATTACCATCAAAAATATGAATATTACAGTACGTTCTTTATAACCGAGCACTACATTATTTATCAGTTTAAAATGCATTAATTACACCGGAACTCACTGCGTGTGCTGCTTTGACACAGAAATCGGCAAATTCAGCAGCATCCAAGGGAGATTCTTCTCCGTTCGATGTGCCTTTTTTGTTTTCCACTGCCCGGAGAAACTGCGCGTGGCGTTGAACACTCACAAAGCCAAGTTGGTCACTTCGCAATCGCTGTTGATGAATGGCAGCGCGAAGAACAACGGATGACTCAAAGCGACGCTCGTCCTTTTTTAAATCCTTTATATTAAGTTCGCTTGCGTGCTTGCGTGCTTGCTTGCTTGCTTACGACCGTGCAAATCTTTCGGTCGTTTTTTAACCCACTCCCCGTGATCCAATCGAGCTGACATTTTGCACACAGACTCGTTGTGCGAGACAATTAATGTTCGTGAAAAAAAAATTCCACAATTTTACACTGTTTAGGGAAAACAAATTAAATATTTAATTACCAATTGCTTAATACTGGCAGACAATCATCTGACCCATAGGTGGCAGCCATCTCAAGCCAGAGGACGAGAGGACTCTAGCCGCCACGCATATAAAGGATTTACAGTGAAAAACTTTGTTTTTTACGGGTTATGCTTGTTGCGTCGCGATGCTCAAAAGTAACGTGGGCGAGACGACGAGGGGGTGCATCGGAGAGTGAACGAACGGGACGACACAAAAGGGGTGCTCGCTTTAAAGCAGGGGCTGCACATTGGCACATTTAAACGGCGGCGGTGGGATTATGATGGGCGACTAAAACGAATGCGGCCAGCTACGAGGAAAGCCTTTGTGCTGCTGATGAACCGGTAATAAGTAGAACAATTCCCTTATACAGCGAGGTAATTGAATGCGCCTGCCTTAGCAGCCTTTCCTCTTTTTTTTTCTTCCCAAAAGTGGGGGCATCTTATCCACGAGCGCCAAACAGTGACTATTCAGATCCAATTATCCGCACTGCTTAATTAAAAAGTATTTAATTAAGCAAAATAACGAGATAGCATACCATTAGCGTTGCCGTGGTGACCAAAGCGTTTTGCCTAGGGAACGAGCGATGGAAAGAGATGGCACAAATGACGTGGACGGAGGCGCAGAATGCTTGTGATTGTCTTTCACTTTGCCCGTGTTTTAATGTCTCGTCAAGCTATACCCGGTTTCCCTGCAGGGAGCGTATCATTTCGGCACCCGATGCTGTCGGTGTGAATGTACTTTAATCCCATTTCCTTGCTTCGTACACAATTATTTGCCGACTGTACAACGCGTTACAGATGGCCTCAAGAGTGGCTCGCGTGCCACATGTCAGAGGCTTGAATTAAATATGCCGAGCCGCGGTGGATACCAGCGCGTGATATCGTGATAATAAACGTAATTATGAGAACGGAGCAACGTTATTTTCGTTTGTCGTCGGCGTTACGTAAATACACAGAACACCGTTGAGCGAAATGAACGGAAAAAAAAATACAGCAGAGATCTCGATTATAATCAACAACGGTCAAGGTGCGTTTGGTTGCCTCGCTTGGATGACCGGCCTGCATGCGTGTTCATTCGGCGCACGGAGCAATCCCAGCCAGCCTACACGGTAAACACTACCCCGACAGCCGCTGGTCTTTTTTTAGACCCCACAGAGACGTGTGCGATACTACCACCGAGCTTGTGCCGTCAGCACCGTCTGCAAGAAATCGTGCGTGGTGCGCGTATCTGCGCAGAGGCTCACGACCGCGCGTGTGCCATCCGCTTTTTACTTGCCACCTCCCCCCCCCTCCTTGCCCGAGCCAGCTTGCCAAAACGGCACTTGTCGCCGAATGCCGGAGGCACAATTGCCAGCGCAAGCCCGAGCCGCTGTTTGCGAAAGGTTAATTTTCTTTTGGGATGCGAACAAAGATTACTTGATGAGCACAATCCCCACCGCCCCTTGTTGGCGCGTTGCAACGAAAAACGTGGCACCCGTTCTGTTGCAGACGGAGCAGATTGCATCGTCAAATACGCAATTAAACCAGTCAAATAACCCGTTTTTACCATGTTTTTCCCTGTCTGAAATACATGCAAATTACAAACATCTCGTCTTAAAATGAATTACTTGTCACACTGAATAATCCCAAAATGGCTGTACTGAGGGAATGCATTATCAAGCGAAGTGGTCCATGATCAAAGGTCAAATCCACTTGCTGCTTCAAGTGTACAAGCTGCATACGTGCCGCTACGAAATCCAAGTTCCGATTCATTAACTTTTTCAACAACGCCTAACAATCAGCTTGGTTTTCTGTTCCATGACAAATTGGCCCACTCGAGACCCATCTCTTTGCTACCTAACTTTACTTTTAATCGTCAATCTCAGTTGCGGTACCGTACTTGAGCGAGTTTACTCCAAATTCCGACACTCAATGCAACTGGAGCTTAGCATTAAATAACTGTGGAAACAGACTTTTTTTTGTTAAATCCAGAGATTTCTCCCATGACGTGCAATTCCTTTCTACAGGAGACTGTGGCACTCACTCTTTACCCCACTGTGAGTCAATTCGCTGGTTGATTTACTACTGCGTCTTTTTGCTCCGCTATCAGATCGACAGGATGAACAATTTCCCAACGTTTTCAACGTTTGGGTGACCGCCGCGTGAATGCGTTCCCAAGCCTTTTGCGGCCTGTAATCGACAGCAGACAACACGAGGAAAATGTATTTATTGTTGTACTGAATTAGCCTGTAGGCTTAGACGTGGGAGGCATTAATGACCTTAATCCTACTACGTGTAACACCCATCTTGTAACAGAATGGGTGATCAGAGGCCTTGCTTTGTAACATTCTCCTCGCTGTCCAATGCATGTCAGCTTACAGGGAGGTCCGTGCGCGCCATGTGAGTGAATGAATGGGGAAGATTTGGATGCGTAAAAAGTTATCAATGCGGTTGCTTCAAGTAAGGCTGTATGACGGCTTATGGTAATGGGAAAAATAGAGTAATGCAGGGAAGAAGGTTGTCGTTGAGGGTCAGAAGACTGTCCAAAACGTAAAAGCTTCATACACCTCCCCACAAAGGGAAATGAAGTGTTTATTCGGAGAGACGCATACCTGGTAAGGGCCAAACAAAAAAAGGAAATACAGTATTACTGTACGCCAAGGCCGTAGCCTTGGAGTCAACATTGGGGGAGACTAAATCTTCCAGGGAGTCTGGGGGTCCCCCCCCCCCCCCCCCCCAGAAAAAAAAAATCTAAATTTTTAAACTAATTTCCTACCTAAAATAAAAAAAATGCACTTATACATGGGATGGACATTTTTTTTTACAATAATGTCTAATCGTGTATTGTATTTTTTGCTCTGTTTTTTTTTTACCTTTTCTTGTTTCATTGTATGTAATGGCAGAGATTAGGGATTGATTCGCGTAGTCACTTTAAGATGTTCTATGTTTTTGTTTTTTGCGGTTGCACCCGAGTCAAGAGCCGCATGGCTCACAGGGCTATACCTAATACAACTGAAACTAAAATACAACCATAACCACAATCATATAAACATTAATTTATGAATTGTTATATGAAGACAAGTCCAGATATTGTGGCAAAGGTTTAGCAAATTGTTGTTTTTATTTACATATTTACAAGTAAACTTGGGTGGGCAGCATGGGCGTTTGCTCTGCTCTCCTCTCTTCACCTCTCCCCATTCATTCACTCACTCACTCACTCCTCTCCCCATTCATTCACTCACTCCTCTCCTCTGGTCCGATATTCTCCTCTCTTCTCCAGCCATCTCTTTTCCTCTCCCCTGCTCTGCAGTAATTTCCGCTCCTTTCCTTTCCTCTGCTCTCCTCTCCTATCATCTCCTCTCAAGGCAATGACGAGTGTTTTGACTTGCCATTCTTCAAGCAAAGGATCCAAAGGCCCTTTTTTGCGCTTATCATTGACGCCGATAAAAGACTGGCATATTCCTTCAAGGTCAAGTCTGTCCAGTTTCTCCTGGTGCACGTGACACATGGCCACATTATTCAGCCTTGTCTGACTCATCGAAGATCTAAGCCACGTCTTAAGCCTCCTCAGGGCACTAAAACTCCTCTCAGCCTCTACAGAGGAGGCAGGAACAGCCAGCAGAAGCCTTACTAAAGATTCCACCTGACTGAAGAGACCTCTCACTTCTGGCACCATTTCCATAATAACGCTAGCAACATCTGAGCTCGTTTAAAATGTGTAATTAGCCCCAAATATGGCCGGGTGCACCTGCAGTAATCTTGAATTCAATTCAGGATACTAGTCTACCCACCTTGTCCATGTCTCCGCGTAGCAGCACATTTTCAAGCGGCTGCAGCTTGTGGAATCTAGCTTGATCAAACCTCTCTATGAATTGAGTATTCAGTGTGTCCAAGGCATTATAGAATTGGGCTCTGTACAAAGAATGGGCATCCGGATGGATATGGGCTGCAGCCTGACCGGTGTAACACTTTGTAGGTTTGCGGGTATGAGGCATCTGAATAGGTTGTAGG